CTGCCTTGCGATTTCGCTTGTGTTTGCTTCACGACTGATTTGAGCGCGACCGCCGCTGCAAAAACCGCTGTGAGAGTTCGAAAAGTGAGTTACAGAATCGCAAGGCTGATCAGGTGTTTTGAGTGCTGTATTAATGGCATTTCAATTAATTTCAATGGGGAAAATTGCTATTAGTAAAGTTACGGAAGAAATTAACTCCGTGCGTTGAGGTACCTGTTATCATATATGCAATTGATACAGGCATATTACTAAACTTTGCCTTTGTAATCCCTCCCAAGCCGTCCCCCTGAAGCACAAATTTTATATCCTTTCTTATCTTTTGTACACGATTTGGCGACAATAATTCGATCAAAAATTACAGCATATTGCATACAAGAGATATGAGATTTTAATATATCAAGTAGACATAAACGTTAATGTAAATGCAACCGTGGCTAAAGCCCATGGGCCTCCACAATATAGACTTAAAATAAATAAAATATAATAGGTTACGTTTTGTACTATAACATTATTTACGAATAAAGTGCCCTGTAAACGATCAAATTTCCTTGACAAATTTGTTTGTCAAACTTCACGTTTTCATCAAACAATAGCTTAAACGATCAAACCAAATATCAAACAAATTTGTTAACTTTCTAGTAGATTCGGGTTTCTCCTTTCGTGACGTGCGTCGCCGTGCCGAGCGCTTACAATGAGTAATTCAGATGACGCATTTTTTTTTTCATTTTCGCGCATTTTCCATAACATCGGCATATCACGATAAACAGATATGAAATGCAACGTACATTATTTGTTCGTAATACTGCCACTCATATCGTCACTGAGCGTAGCGTCCTCCATGATGTCAATACAACAAGTGAGATCTTGTTTGACAAACACCGCCGTTCACGTTCAAACCTGTTTGTCAAACTCGACATCAATCCAGATTTTCATCAAACACGACAAACACGTAGATTGTTTGACAAACGCCTCAAACACAGCAGTACACTATCAAATAATTTGACAAACACGTAAAATTTGACAAACAATTTGATCGTTTACAGGTAAGAGAGTTTTTGACGGCGAGATCTGCTATAGGTATTTAAATTTGTATTTGATTCATGATCATCACACATGTTAAAATAAGGACAATCAGATACTTATGAAAATATAAATAAGAGGTTGAGTAAAAGATGCTGGCTCTCACGTCATGCCTGAGAACAGATTCTGAAAACTGGAAGCTGCGAGATTTCCGTTCAGTTTTGTAATTTAATACAAATAAAGAGCGGACCGTATCTCCCTCCTTCTGGTTTTTCTGTCTATGTTTGCCATGCGTCATGCTCGTGAACGGGTGCTGCTCGTGACTGGTCGTACTTGAATTCGTGTATGCGGTGATGTTGGTTATTTCGACTATGTGTTTGCGTGTTGTTCCCACGGGAATGTAAGTGCGTGCTCCTATTTCACCATGCGTCCTGCTGATAGAGGACAAGTCTTTGTTTTTTTTTTAATTCATGTTATTATTATTAATTACTTGATATGTCATGTGGAACATGGTGTAATGGTTGCAGCTCCTTACAAAAATTGTGTAAAAAAATGGCGATTAAAATGAGTGGTGGAGAGTTTATTGCCAGTTCTTCTCTCCCGTTCTACGCCCTTGATTTGAGAACTGGCAGTAAATGTAAAATTAGAAGCATTAATATGTATTTCTTTACTGACGAGTCATAAGTGTACATTATGTTACCTATATGATTAAATGATTTTTTACTTAGCTTTACTTTCATAGTCATTTTGTGTAATGATTTGATATTTTAAATGAGAACCGAGAGTTTTATGCCCCGGCTTTTTCTCTTGCCCTACAGCCTAATTAATGGCTTGGAATAAGTTATCACCTGTATTTTATATGCCATAATAAACATATTTTATTTTGTTTATTATTTTTGTGTGTAAAGTTTACTGTAAAGCCTGTTGGCCAACGATTAAATAAATAAATATTTTATTGAGATGAAAATACAGAGTTTGTTATTGTTGGCCTTCCCAAATGATAAGCGTGGTCTCTCAGTGATTTATGAAAAGGTCAATGGCCGTTCTGATTTGAGACCATCATCACAAAACTACGCAGGGCAAGCCTGTGTGTTGAGGTTGTAGTGACTCCCACACTCTAAGGGCGAGATCTATAGAGTGCACTTAGACTTTGCTCAGACTTAACTTTCTGTCACAGTGGGTGTTTATAGAGCAAACTGCGAATCTCTCTGAGTGCTAGCTTAGCTTAATCTTAAGTCGACGAAATGGATGACTTACCAAAAACTTTGACTATAAGCCTAACAAAAATAATAGCCCAAAATTTACTTTACCATCATATCTTTAACTTGACTTTTTATTTTTGTCGTAATATAAAATACGGTGATGCCATCTTATACTGGAGTTCCATAGACTTAGGGAAAAATAGGATTTGAATTCAAAGAAATGATAAATGATCTTGATAACCTATGAAATAAAATAATTACACAATATTACGGTATTTATTATTTATATTAGTGTTCAAACCCCATTTTTGAGCATTCTTAAAAATAAGTGGCTTGATATTGCATAATATAGTATTGTCTTTTATTGACATAACTTTTAGACATAGAAAAACACTTTTTTACTGGATTTGAAGTTATGTTTTATTATAAATTTACAATTATTTTACATAATTTTAAATTTAACCGACGTTTCGCGTCCTTTTCAGCGTGTGTGGTCACGTGGTTATGTAAAATAATTGTAAATTTATAATAAAACATAACTTCAAATCCAGTAAAAAAGTGTTTTTCTATAGCACTTGCATATTATGTTCACATTGACAAGCAACAACAAAATTCAAAATATAACCTAACCAATAAATAGAAGATAGATGTGTAACGTTTTAGACGTTAAATATTTGTTATTGTTATACGTTTTTAAAGGATAATAAAGAAGGTATTCCATGAAATGAAACATCAATTTGTATTTTATCATTTTCTGTCTCAGCTTGTGCTTAGCTTAATCTCACCGTTAAAATGTCTATAAATACCTACTAAATCATAGTTTATGCTTAGTGTAGAATAAGCAAAGTTTTTCGTAAGTAACGTTTGAGCTAAGTCTAAGTGCGCTCTATAGATCTTGCCCTAAGTACGGTTTATACTCATGTCAAAAGATTCAGCTGTAATATCCAATGACAAAACTTATCTAACAGTAAATAGTGGAATTAATTTAAACAAAACACGCGTCGTCAGATTGATAACATTTAAGTTTTCATGTATAATGGAAATCCGATATAAAATCAATCATATCTTTTATCTATGGTTTTTGCGTACCAATGAAATATATATTTTAACGAGCATTTTATTATAGATACTTTATTACCTTATTAAATATAGTAATAAATTCCGATTATTATTTTATTTAGATAAAATCAACAGTGTACAAATTTTTTGTACGATGTATAGTTTAGGAGATAGGTATAGGCGAAAACGTGATTCCACCCCTTTTTCCAAGATGGCGGCCGGGGGACAAGGGCGCCAACCCCACAAACTTGGAGTTAAGCTTGTATTGACCCCCCTACATGTCCCATAAATAAAATTGGGTCCTTTATCAATTTTCAGCAAATGTAACATTTCAATGGACTCAATTACTTTCTTCTTAAGTTTTAAGTGTCACCTATAGTTTTTAATAAAACCTGACGATATTTATTACATCATAATTTTAATGATTTTTTCGTCTATAAAACAGTTCCTCCACCTTATTATATTTTAATTTCGTATTTTTTCGTTCGTATAGTTATTATAATTCTACTGAAGCAACTTTATTAGGTTATCTATACTTTAATTTTATTATATTAAGTTATTTAACTATATATTGTGTATATATATTTTATATTTATCTACTCATACATATTATAGCGCTGGAAAGTTAAGAACACACGTTAACATCTACACAACAACACAAGTTCACGGGGTCTTATTCATAAAAATAAATTATCACATTGCACTATTTTTACCAAAGTACTTCGATAAAAAAAGAGGTAATTTGATACTGTGTCTTTCAAGACCTAGACATACACAAGTTTTATTAACCGATTTGGTTTATTTTCTTTAATTGCTTTTAAGTCCATTGATAAAAATATGTTTAGTAGTTTTTCCGTGAAAATATCAGCTTATTTCAAAAAGTTGGTGTGCTTTCTGTTCGTTGGAATCTCTACTTTCCGATGGTAAAAAACAAAATATATTACTATAGTTAATCTCAGAAAATGAATGAATGAAAGTGAATTTTCGATTGAAAATTAGGGTGCTTTTTCGATATTAATTCAAAATGAGGTGAAAAAATAAATATTTCAAATCAAATAAATTACAGCGTATTCAGGAGCTTGAAAAGTAAGTTTTCACCAAATTTCGTGGAGATTTTTTTTTGTAAAAGATAAAAATAAAAAAACAAGAACTTGTTTTTTTGAATTTACACATAAATTTTGAGGTTATGTGTAAAAAATGTTTTAGATCTTTTTATTATCTACAACTTTGCCATTTAACTTCATAGGACTTTTAGTTTTGCCGGAAATCGAGATAAACTGTTTTTTATCCTTAAAAACTCGCCCTCGTTCTCGACCTCAGATCGCCCGTAAATCATTTTTCCTTTCATTTTTATAATATTCTCCTTCTTTTATTATTATAAAAGGCTTCTACCCTGGTCTACGTTAGAATAAAACACATCAATAAATTCTATAATTTATTATGTCAACTTTGGTTACACGGTAAACACTCGAAAAATGAAAGAAAATAAATAAAAATAATATTTATTAACTGAAAAATAAATTAACACGATTTATACTTATGGATCACAATAATACAATAAATGGCGGAACGTGGAACAATTTTATGCCAAAAGGCGTGAATTTTTCTAACCTTACTACAAGTTTGATTAATCTGTGGCGTATTCAGACTACATGCCTGTGACGTTTGACAGTCCGCCACAGACTATAGAACCAAACGAATATGACAATTGACGCCTATTTACTTTGATTTCGCGGCTTCTTCGGCTTCGAGCCTTTTGCGCATGGATTCTGGCATCTCAGCTGGTGGTGGTCGGGGCATTCTCAGCCAAACCTACAAAATAAATATAATTAATTACAAACTATCAAAAAATACATAATAATATAACTTATTATATATAGTTATAATGGTGAACAGTCAGAAAATAGTTTAGATTAGTTCTAGTGACCAACTTAGTGTCAGCCTTGGTTGATACCGCACCAAGAAGTCCAGAGTTTGATTTCCAAAACAATATTTCTACTTGCTAAGCACAGGTCTATCACCTATAAAAATATAAATGAAACATTCATACATACACAACAAACATTTCCCAAACGTCTCCTAAACAATTATTGAGAGATTTCTTGCTAGTGATTTATATTTTTTATAATAATATTAAAAATAGTTTTTGATTGCATGCAAATAATTAATTACAATTAAATAATCAAAGACTGGAAAAGTAGGCATTATAGTCAATAAAGTTCAGTTTACATATGAAAAATTAAATAAAGAAATATTTATTATTCTCTTACATTAACTGTAACATAAATTCTACTATTATTCAAATGTTGTTTTTAAATTATGTCCAATGCCGTAGGATCTTCCGTGGGCAACTTCATTCTGTTAACTTTGTGTCACGGTGCGCGCGCGAGCATCGTAAAATTTCACTCTCATCAATTTTTCATAACGCGCCTAAAGAAGTATAACTTCAAAAGTATGGCTTTATTTATTTACCGTACCTTCAGACAATAAACTGTAATGAGACAATTGACTTTAGTGAGAATCAGAATTACCTTAACAGCATCATAGATGAACCATTGCAGGGCAGTGAGGGTACCAATCATGACAATCCTAGGTCCAAGACCCTTCCATACTCCGGCCCAGCCGAGTTTGCTAATGATAGAACCAGCTGTGGCTGTCTTGTCCTGAAAAACAAACATAAAAATTACCACTGAACTTAAAAAATCAGCCGTTACACCATTTAACGGTTGTTAGTGGTATAACTTCCTGAATATTGCGTAGAACCGAGAGTCCTGGTTTGATTCCCAGTATATTAATTCTGTAGGGATAGAAAATATACACAGCACATGTCCTTTAGTCATTCGCGTTCTAGTATTACGTAACGAATTTTGGGGGGTTGGGGTTAGTGGTGGTGGTGGTTGTGTGTGTGTTTTTTGTAAAACATTACGATGCGGGGCGGGGATTGAATTACGCGTTATTAATATTATTTTAGGTATAAAGAGTCACTAGGTGGTAACGAAACGTTTTACTATACTTGGGTACAGAAAAACGTGACGGCGCGTTACATTGGGGGCTGGGGGGGTTTTGTGTGAGTGAGTGAGTGAATGTGTGTGTGCGTGCGTTTGTGTGTGTGTGTGTGTGTCGCGTGCGTTTGTGTGTGTGCGTGCGTTTGTATGTGTGTGCGTTTGTGTGTGTGTGGGCGAGTGTGTATATATGTGATTGAGTGTGTGTGTGTCAATAATCTCCAAAAATTGCGCGACGTAATACTTGAACGCTCCCTTATTTGGTGATTTACGTCAACAGTAATTATTTAGTTTTTCACTTATTACCCACACATTGTCTATGCTTGAAAACTAAACACATCTTCAAGGCTTCTTCAAAAAAATAATATGTTTATGTACTATTATTTTTGAGAGCTTTGCTTACTTTTGCTGACAACACTTGAACGACTATTAGAAAACTATTACATATGCCTTTGGCATTTATGCTTTTTACTATTCTTAATTCTAGCGGCTATTACCTGGTTCAGCTTGGATACAACAGTATCAGCAGGGTGGGAAACAATAGCACAGAAGACACCAGCAATGTAACCAGCAGCAAAGGTGACCACCAACTGCTCACCCTTGGAGCATTGATCACGGGGTTTGGGCACTACATACTGGAAAAAAAGAGAATAAATATGTATTATAGGTTGGTAGTATAATATTATGACACAATGTAAAAAAAACCCTATAAAAACGTGGCACTTTTTTTTTTTTTTTATATATAATAGGGGGGCAAACGAGCTTGCGGGACGACAAAAAAGGGCTGTCTTCGCCGCCCATAGACACCCATTCGTAGTGGGTGAGTTGCCGGCCTTTAAAACTTTAAAAAAAAAATTTCAACTTATGCTATCATAATTATTTATTTATGCAGTATTTTTTTTTCTTTGATATTAATTCAAGTTTTTTCTTTGATAAATTAATTCAATCTACCATTCTACCAGCCTCAGACTAACTCGCCTATATAGTCTGTCTCACTCTAACGCGCACCGGCTGCACCGATCTCGTCAGAGAGATGTGAATACGCAGTATGCGTTCTGTCCCGCTCTAACGCGTAAGGTTTTTTTCGTTACGGAATTTCTGGATTCGGTCTCCACGCTCGAGGCCCGCGATAGAAGCTATGCAATAACTTAAAAATATTTATCTGTCTCTTATTTATTATGAAAAGATTAATAATATTTAGTATCTTTTCATTTATAAGTTGCTGTTATGTTAGACATTAACGCAAATATTGTGTACACGGAACATTCATATTTAATTACAATTTATTAAAAAATTAAGCAAATAAAACGTGTGGCACTCGGGGACTGCCGCGGTAAAGCTATTGCATAGCATTTTTTATCAACTTATGCAATATAATAATTTATTTAATTTTTTGCAGTATTTTTTTTTCTTTGATATTAATTCAATCTACCACTCTACCAGACTCAGACTAACACGCCTATCCGATCACGCTAAACCGATGTGTGTCCCGCTCATCGTGTGTTAGGTTTTTTTCGTTACGGAATTTCTTGATTCGGTCGCCGCGCTCAAAGCCCGCGATAAAATCTATGCAATAGCTTAATAATATAGAACCAGCATAAAAATTAAAATGCAATAAATTATTTTTGAATATGCTATCAGTGTGGTTGTTTTAGTAGTCAAAAAGTTTTTTTTAATTTACCATATCAATCAACATACCTTGTACAACAGTTCCAAGGTCTTCTCAAAGCAAGCAAACTTCATCATGGTGTAAGGAATCTGTCTGCCCCAGAGTGGGACCAATCCCTTGTAGAAGGTACCATAGCCCTCATTTTGGACCATCTTGGGCCATGCTTCACGCAGGGTAGAGGCAAATCCAGGCATAGTTTGGATTCTCACCTGGAATACATTGGTAAAATCACAATAACATCTTTCAAAATATATGTTTTGCTAAAAAAGTTATCTATTCACAATACAGTGTATACTCTATATAACGTAACATAAAAACTTATACATTAATTCACTCTTTATAACGCAACGGCCATTCTCTATAAGAAAGAAATATTTTCTTATTTAGACAATAACAACATACTTAAGTGTAATTGTTTTTATGTACTAGACTATCTAAAGTTAGTAATTCTTTTTTGGGAAAAGGGATACTCTTTAATAAAATCCCAGAGGCTCTTTTATGTCTGCCTTTTAATAAATTTAAGAAATGTATTAAAGAAATGCTGTGTAAAAAGGCTTACTATAAAGTTAACGATTATCTAGTTGATAAAAGCTGGGACTAGTGCTAGACAGGCTACTTCTAATTAATTTGCGATATTTGTTTTAAAATAAGTGTTGTTTGACGATTTGATATTTTAAAAGAGTACCGAGAGTTTTTTACTCCGGCTTTTACTCTCGGCCTACACCCTCTGTTTTCTTTGCCGATGAGTAGGGATGCATACAGATTGAAATTTAATGACGTGGAATAAGTGATACCTGTATCTTATGTTCCATAATATACATATTTTTTTTAATTTTATGATCAGCTCACAAAATTAAACTTTTGAAAAATTAAATAAATAAATATTTATTTTTATTCTCTTACATTAAGTGTAACAAATTCTATTATTATTCGAATGTTGTTTTTAAATTATGTCCAATGCCGTAGCATCTTCCGTGGGCAACTTCATTCTGTTAATTTTGTGTCACGGTGCGCGCGCATCGTAAAATTTCACTCTCATTTTAGTTAACACTGTATTAGAAAAGTAGAAATCTCTACCTTAGCGGCCTCCAAAGGTGACAGTGCAATATCAGCAATGAACTCAGCAGATGCTGATGCTGCTAAATACACTCCAGTTCTGTATGAGTACGCAGCTTCTTCATCCAACATCCCAGAGTATAATACTTTGAAAACTTCATAGAAACCAAACTTGCATAGACCCTGAAAAAATATGAGTGTGAGTAAAGGCTAGAAATGGCATCGGTAGTTATAACAGACTATATTTTCTCATACAAATGTCGTCCTCAAAGCGATCAGTAGGAACAATTGGATATTTTATATAATCATTGAATACCCTATAAAAAATGTGTGCGTGTACTAGTGTACACACGTAAGAAGTGAAACTCCTTTATGACCTTATTTTACGAAAAATGATCTACTATATGCAACTTTACAGAAATTGATTAAATAAAGTTAAATTAGATAATGTTTAACAAAAGGCTTTTATTATCATAGACATTCAACAAATACAATTATTTCATTTTACCTTATTACTACTAAGATTATTACAGAATTTCATTAATTGTAATAGAATTCGTCCCTTTTCATCACAAACAATAAAAAACGCATAAATTTTTTTTTAAAGGTTTACTAAACCTGGAATTAGTAGGCAGTAAAGAAGAAAAAAAATAATTAAAGTTAACTCGATATATTGTTCGTGATATATTAGGTCACTTGAGTAAGTAAATATTTAGATTTACCTTTTTGTAGGTAAAACATAAAAAATACGTAGCATTTTTTATTGCCCTCAAATGGGTTAAATTTGTCCCTTTTTCGGTAAAGAACTTTTTTAGTAGCAACACTTATGAAATGTCAGAATTCTACGGAATGAAAAAACAGAGTATAGTATTGTCTTATGTATTGACAAAGGATAGGTTCCGCCTACCTAATTATTATTTACAACAGATAGCTACTATGCTATCTTACTTTTTATTTACAACTAAAGCTAAACATTTAGCTTTTCAGACAACTGCTTCTATTGAGCAGCTAGCTTTTCAGACAACTGCTTCTATTGAGCAGCTTAGCTTAAGTGAATGTAGTGATACTTGCAGTAGCACTTCATTAAGTATAAATAATTTAAATTAGATAGTGTGACAATAGAGGCAAACTCTAGCAATAATTTAGTACAACTCAGCTCAACACAAACATGTTATATTACTAACAACAACTGTTTAAACTTGATGCATCAAAACATGCAAGGTATGTTGGGCAAAGAATTAGAATTGGAGTTGTTTTTAAAATCAAGTAAAATTGATGTCCTATGCATTACCGAACATTGGCTTAGAGAATGCCAAATCATCTTTAACTTTGATCAGCACCAAGTTGCAAGTTCGTTTTGCAGATTGTCGGCGATTCATGGGGGCTCTTTGATTATTGTTAATAAAAATTTAAAGTATAAAGAGCGTAATGACATCGTGTGTCTGTCTGTAGAACACTCTTTGGAAGTAGCCTGTATAGAGATTGAGAATTGCATTATTTTAAGTGTTTACAGACCACCAAGTGCATCTTACGATTTTTTTGAAGAAAAGTTGGAGGAAATTTTGTGTAAAGTTAGTTTTAAGAACAATAAGTATATTATTGTATGTGGTGACTTCAATATAAATTTATTAGAAAATACCTCCATTAGTAAAAAATTCAATCTGTTATTAAAATCTTACAATCTTGTTAACTTGTTTCTTGAGCCCACTAGAATTACAAGCTCCACTGCTACATGTATAGATAATGTATTTACAGATGCAGAGGCAATGCAAACCTCAATTACAACTGATCTTAGCTCAGATCATTGTGGACAGTTAGTGGCGCTAAAATGTAAAGTGGTGAAACAAGTAAATAAGAGCAGTGTGTTTGTTCCAGTGAATAAAAAGCGAATGGTGAGATTTAGACATAATATAGGTAAACGCCTACCTTTATTACCGGTAGGTACTACCGTTGATACACAATACAACAATCTAAGTGATTGTATTAATAAAGAGTTCAACACCATCTTTACCCCAAAGAAAGTCTCTCATTCGCAGTGTAAATCGTTTAGTGATTGGGCGACAGCGGGAATTTATAAAAGTAGACAACGGTTGTATGACCTTTACGCTGAAAAGTCATACAATCATAATGAAGAATTTATTCTTTATGTTCGAAATTATTCGAAATTATTTAAGAAAGTTTGTTACGCGGCCAAGTCCTTAAATATCAAAAACAAGATTAAAAATAGTACCAATAAAACTAAAATGACTTGGAAGATAATTGATAGTGAAACTGGAAGAGTCAGGGATCGCAATCAAGACATCGAACTATGTGTCGATAACACTATAATCAAATCTAACGAAGAGATAGCGATTGTTTTTGATAAGTACTTTTCTGACATTCCAATTTCGACTACTAAGTCTCTTCAATCATCTCCCGCCCTCGCCGAATCGCTGCTCAAAGATAATGTAAACGAGTGCAAGGTCAGTTTTTCATTCCGACCCATTGGTGCCGACGATATAGTGAGGATATTTAGAACCATAGATATTAAGAACACTACCGATCTTTGGGGTATTTCTGTAAAAATAATTAGTAGCATAATTGATGTAATTGCTCCCCATCTAGCTATAATTTTCAACAATTGTATTAAAAGTGGCGAGTTTCCCGATCTAATGAAACATAGTAAAGTTATTCCTTTATTTAAAGCAGGTAGTATGTCCGACCCCAGTAACTTTAGACCAATTTCCGTACTACCTACTTGTAGTAAAATATTTGAAAAAATTATATTAAATCAACTGGTAAGTCATTTTAACGTAAACAAATTATTACATAATAATCAGTTCGGTTTTACCAAGGGTCGCTCGACAGCCGATGCCGGTGTTGAGTTATATAGATATATAGTTAAGGCTTGGGAGGAGTCGCATGACGCTTTAGGTGTTTTCTGCGACTTATCCAAAGCATTTGATTGTGTCCAACACGAGACCTTAATCGGGAAACTCCGCCACTATGGCATCAAGAATACCGCACTGAATCTTCTGACTTCCTATTTACACGGAAGAACTCAGAAGGTTGAAGTGAATGGTAAGAGGTCCTCTGGGTCGGCAGTAGATATGGGGGTACCACAGGGCTCAATTCTTGGCCCTTTCCTCTTTCTTGTTTATATAAATGATCTACCTTTCATGGTAGAGAGAAAACATCAGATAGTTTTGTTTGCTGATGACACGTCCTTGATTTTTAAAATCAAACGACAAATAACAAATTTTGACGATGTGAACAATGCTCTGTCTTCGATTGTCCATTGGTTTAGTATGAATAACCTTCTACTTAATGCAAAAAGACAAAATGCATTAAATTTTGTGCAAAAAATGCAAGGGTTATGGATACTAGACCAATTATAAACGGTGAGGAATTGAATCTGGATGATACAACTGTATTTCTCGGAATCACCATGGATTCAAAACTTCAGTGGTCCCCTCATATTAACGGATTGGCGAAGAGACTTAGTTCTGCAGCCTACGCGGTTAAAAAAATTCGCTCACTAACTGATGTCGATACAGCTAGACTTGTTTATTTTAGTTACTTTCATAGCTTAATGACTTATGGCTTATTATTATGGGGTCATGCTGCTGATGTCGAAACTATTTTCATCCTGCAGAAGAGGGCTATTCGTGCAATCTATAATTTAAAATGTAGGGAATCTCTTAGAGATAAATTCAAGGAAATTAATATACTTACCTTTCCCTCGCAATATATTTATGAAAATATTATGTATGTATACAAAAATAGTGATAAGTTTACTAGAATAGAACATACGCACAATGTTAATACACGGAACAAACGCAGGCTGCAATTTCCCCGTACTAGACTATCTAAAGTTAGTAATTCTTTTTTGTGGAAAGGGATACTCTTCTTTAATAAAATCCCAGAGGCTCTTTTATCACTGCCTTTCAATAAATTTAAGAAATGTATTAAAGAAAAGCTGTGTAAAAAGGCTTACTATAAAGTCAACGATTATCTAGTTGATAAAAGGGCCTGGGACTAGTGCTAGACAGGCTACTTCTAATCAATTTGCGATATTTGTTTTAAATAAGTGTTGTTTGATGATTTGCTGTTTTAAAAGAGTACCGAGAGTTTTTTACGCCGGCTTTTTCTCTCGGCCTACACCCTCTGTCTTCTTTGCCGATGAGTAGGGATGCCTTCAAATTTAATGACGTGGAATAAGTGATACATGTATCTTATGTTCCATAATAAACATATTTTTTTTTTTTTTTTTTTTTTAACTTTTGCTATATATCTCACAAGGTTCAAAAATTCAAGATTTCTAAACTTTCCTTCGTGCTTGCTTACCTGCATAGAGTATCCGATGAATGTGGGCGCCCATCCCTTGGCGAGACCACGCATACCTTCCTCGCGCACAGACACTTTAAATCCATTGACCACATTCTTGTATTTGTCTGGGTCGACTTGTAAACGACACTTGACCAGGTCGAGTGGAACCACCGCCGTGTGTGTGATACCTGATGGTAAATTTTAAAATTAATTACAGAACATTCTAGTTACCCTTTATAGGGGTCGTTCAAGTATTACGTAAGCAGATTAACTGCCATTTATCCCCCTCCCCGTTCCTCTTGTCAGCAAAAGTAATACATTAAGGTATTCGTTACGATTCGTTTTCAAGCAATGTGTGGGGGTGGGTAATATCACCCCCACACCCCCCCCCCATGTAACGCGCCGTAACTTTTTTTCTGTACCCAAATATAGTAAAACGTGACTCTCTATACCTAAAAGTTAGTGGTGTAAAGTACTGGAAAGTCGAAAATAATATTAAAAAATAACGCGTAATTCAATCCCCGCATCGTAACGTATACAAAAGGACAATCGTTACGCAATACTTGAACGCTCCCTAATCACCAGATAAAAAAATCAAAGACCCCCCCCTATAGTGCTTACGTGACACTTGAACGGCCCCATAGGCCTCAAAAATTTAACTTTTTAAGAAAGATCAATTCCAACATTTGACGACTCATTGGTCTAGTGGTTAGTACCCCTGACTGTAAATCCATGGGTCCCGGGTTCGACTTAGGTCGTGGGCGTTTAAATATGTATTTATATGTCTATCTATCTATAATATGTATGTATATCCGTTGCCTAGTATCCATAACACAAGCTTCACCAGCTTAGCATGTGACTAGGTCAATTGGTGTGAATTGTCTTTAAAAAAAACATTTTTGTATGCAAGTTCGATGTAGATCTCTCAATATCCGAAGGGCTAATCGCACTGTCGATTTGTGCGATATAAAAAACTTATTATTGAGATCGGGATTGTCGATATGTTTATTGGAAGTTAGTTACAGTAGAAATTTTTGAATTAACAATAGAATTGCTGGTCCTTCGCTGGTTTACAAAAAACGTGGAGCCCTTTTGTTGGTATGGGCTCAGCTGAGATTTCTGGTACTGTTTCATGATTATTGATCTATCTAATAGGCAAGTCAGTGATCAGCCTCCTGTGTCTGAGACACGCCGTTGACTTTTTGGGTCTACGGCAAGCCGGTTTCCTCACGATGTTTTCCTTCAACGTTCGAGCGAATATTAAATGCGCATAGAAAGTCCATTGGCGCACAGCTGAGGATCGAACGTACGACCTCAAGGATGAGAATCGCACGCTAAAGCCACTACGCCAACACTACTACTGCTTGCAACACTAATATAATCGCACTCAAATATTACCTTATTTTCACTATAGTGAAACTTTGCCAACATACAAATAAATAATTTAGATTGTGTTTGGGAGTCTCAGTGGTACATGACGCTGGATCGATTTGGTACGAAGTATCATAGCAAGGATAAGACCAAGCCACGAGACAATTTAAATTCGAATTACTTGCAATATTATCAAGCATAAATAATAGTTAATTATATTATAAGCCAAACATCAATCAACAGGATTACGTCAAAATTGCAGCAATTTTTTTATCGTCAATCACGGACAAGGTCAGATAAAGATATCTTATCGCTTCGTTACACTGATACAATTTAAAATTTTGTTTTCTAAACATTTTTTCAAATAATGCCTTTTTAACAAAAAACCAAATTTTTATTAGTGTTGTTTTAAGATATGTATAAAGTATTAATTAGCTTGGTAAGGTTGGTAAGGTATGGTTGCTCATAATATTTAAAAAAAAAAACAAGTGGCACTACAACCTTGTTAGGTCTGGGCCTCATATTTCTATCATCATTTCAAATAGGCAAGCAGGTGATCAGCTTCCTGTACCTGACACTTCGACTTTTTTTGATAAAACGGTATCCTCACGATTTTCCATCACCGTTCGAGCGAATGTTAAATGCGCACATAGCCAAAGTCCATTGGCGCAGTCGGGGATGGAACCTACGACCTCAGGGTGCTCAGTCCAGCACCCTTAAGCCACTAGGCCAACACTGGCTCACACATGATAATATATAGTACTAGCTGACCGGGGTTTTTCCATGTATATCATTTATAATAAAAAATAGGGGTTGTTCGTAGAGGGGTGAAAGTTAGGGGTTGTATGTATTTTTGAATGCTGTATCATAAAAAAATAAAAACAGAAAAAAATAATAATAAATAGTTAGGGGTGGACTACCCTTACCATTTAGGGGGATGAAAAATAGATGTTGTCCAATTCTCAGACATACCCAATATGCACACAAAATTTCATGAGAATCGGTCGAGCCGTTTCGGAGGAGTTTAACCACAAACACCGCGACACGAGAATTTTATATATTAGATAAAAATTAACCGAATTAACTTTACTGAAATTAACTTTACAGAGATTCTAAAGAAGAAATGAGTCGGTGTTTGTTGTGGCAATTCTTAATTCGCGGGCTTCCCTTGTCACCATTCTCTTACTAAGTCTTGGCCCGAAGCCATTTCACCTCAACATAGTTATATGTAACCTTCACAATCATTATGTAAAAGTAATGCACGGCCATACAGAAATAGCTACTGATAGGTTTCATTAATGGATATAATCTAAGGACTGTGTGACTGTATTTATATATATATATTTACTAGTGGACCCCACAGACGTTGTCCTGCATGATATTTAAAGCGGTTAGGATATTAAGCAAAGTATGAAAGTACCGACTGCAGTGCCATCTGCCGGGCTGATTTGTGAATCTAAACCATTCCCATCTGGGAGGTGTTTTTTGTGTGTGTTCAAGAGGATCTCCTCTTGAACACACACAAAAAATTTCATCAAAATCGGTCCAGTCGTTTGAGAGAAGTTCAGTGACATACACACTCACAGAAGAATTATATATATAAAGATTATATATTTATTATTATATATATAGTCCGGTCAATCTATACATTGCAAGCTACCAGAATTACCATCAAGCCGAAACTGAGTAAACTTGTTCAAAACACAATTAAAAACAACTTTTCTAAATTCGCCATCGTTACGACCCATGGAAATAAATTGACTCAAAGCCAAAGATAAAAAAATGGGGTTTCCGCGATTTTCTTCAAAACGGTAAGTTTTATCAATATATAAAAAGGTATCAATATTTTTTCCCTAAAAGCTACCGCTTCTGAGATAAAACGATTCAAAAAGTAGAACAAGTTTACTCAGGTTCAGCTTGATGGTGATTCTGGTAGCTTAGCTCTTGTTTTTTGCCCTAATTTGACCGGACTATTATTTTATGATAAATTTTGTGAGGTTGTAGGGAGTATAAATCTCTGGATTTTGAAAATATATCAACTGAAATGAATAGTCTTTTCGCGGTAGTGGGATTGAATTTGAACGAAAACATTTCTGATGAACGCCGACTTATGTTAGTTATGATTATAATAATATTTGTATTAAAATAATTGCTTAAAATAATATTTTTTCAACTAATGTAGCGTAGACGATATTCTATCTACTTATAATTACATAAGCGTGTATCTATTACTCTAGCTGATCCGGCAAACGTCATTTTCCCATGTATATCATTTATAATAAAAAATAGGGGTTGATCGTAGAGGGGTGAAAGTTAGGGGTTGTATGTATTTTTTATGCTGTATCATAAAAAATAAGTAATTTATCTAAAAATTAAAAAAAATAATTTAGGGGTGGACTACCCTTAACATTTAGGGGGATGAAAAATAGATGTCAGATTCTCAGACATACACAATAAGCACACAAAATTTCATGAGAATCGGTCAAGCCGTTTCGGAGGAGTATGGCAACGAAAACTGTGACACGAGAATTTTATATATTAGATTTGCATTTAGAAATCAATTTATCATTACCAAAAATTTGCATTATAAATAAATTATCAATATTTATTGTAGTTTTGGTTCACTATTTTGGCTATAATGGCTTACACATAAGACAGATATATACCGTGGCGGGCTTTTTTATAGGACTATTTATTATTTTAAAATAAACATTTCCATCATACATTACATATGTGTAACTCTAGCTGTTTTGGCAGCGCACGCCAGAATAGCTCGCAGATGGTAGATTTTTCCTACTTGATATTTTGGACAATTCACACAATATCTTTATAAATTCTAATGTGTTATTCTGATGTATAAGCTATACTGTAAAGTTTCATCAAAATCCATGGAATAGTTTTTACATGAAAGAGTAATCCATCCATCCATACTTTCGCGTTTATTATTTTAGTTAAAGGGCCAAACTTGCCGCAGTCTGACAGTTTTCGAAATACGGAGGGAATAAAAAACTATTGGATTTGCGTTCCCTAATTGTCATTATCTTAACTTAATATATATAAATTACGTGTCACGTTGTTTGTCCGCTATGGACTCCTAAACTACCGAACCGATTTGAATCAAATTGGCACACCGTGTGCAGTTTGATCTAACTTAAAAGATAGGATAGCTCACATCTCAATTTGTACCCGCAATATAATATATTTTATTGCAAAATATTTGTTTATTATCTGATTGTCACAATTCTAACAGATGGCGCTGTGTTGAAAGTACCAACGTTTCAAATAAGCTACAATTTAATGGCATTACCACCAAAACAGCATGGTGGTCCCCATGACTGGTGTTATCCTACCGTTTCCCTTGAATAGGTTACTACTATGTAATATAACTAAAACCTTAGCCACAGCAACGCTTGGCCGGTCTGCTAGTTTCTTATAAAATCTGATAAAAGCCATGATGCTGATTGCAGATGGATTTAAAAAAAAATATAATAGTTAATACAAGTGAAAGTCAAAAAGTACTGCACGGAATTTATTGCAACAATATCTACAACGATTCATGAGAATTTATTTATAGCCAACAAGGCCACACAAAAGGAAAGAAACATGTTATACAAATTATAATCAATGTGTGGTCTCGATAATATAATTCACACACAAAAAATCTACAATATAATTACGATTACAAATCAATCGAGTTAATTAGCACTGCAATATCGTATCGTAAGCTTGACAGAAATCATTTTTCATGATTTACGTGCCAGTAGCCAGTTTTTAAATGTCTGGTGTAGTAGCTTGTTTAGGAAAGGATTGATTATGTTTTTTTACGTAACGTGATCGAGATAGTACTTGTCGATGTATAAGGGCCTGTTCAGGTTGTTTGGAACGAAGCTACTTCAAAGATTGTCGAGGGTTGGTTAAATTAAAACCTACCAAGAATTCACACGTTACCCCGCCTATTCATCGATATAAAACCTCTTCAAGTATAAAAAAGATTTAGAAGCCTTTTTCAATATTAGACATAAGCATAACATTTATTACTAACGAAACACGCACACAGAAACACACAAAATAATAATAAAAAAAAAGAAAAATAGTGTAATAATAATTCTTTTTTACTATGTATAATAAAGTTTTTTGAAGTTAACTTCTTTAGGCGCATGAGGGTAAATTTATTTACGGATGAAACGCAAAAATAATAATATTAGCGTCACGAAGATGTGCAGCGTTTTTGTCGAAGAAAAGGTAGATAGCGATTGAGACCGATTGAGAGAGTGAGAAAGGGCGAACGTAGCATCACGCACAGTGCCATGGAACGAGTGGTGGGAGAAAGCTATAGTGAGAAAGATTGAGAGAGAGAGAGAGGTCGAGAAAAAATACACGCTACTGGTTGACCTATTAGTTTAGTAGTTACATATTAAAACTTTAGATGGCAATTCTGTCGCATAACGTCTTGTGCAGTAAACGCAGATTTTTCACTTATTTATTATCATTACATAAGTGTGTAAACAGTGTGTATATAGAGATACAAATACATGGAGCGATCATATACTGGTACATACATGATCATCTATTGGGGCTTCTACCTTAGTAATAATTAAATAAGTACGCACACTTTTTTCTTTCTTTTCTTCTTTTGTCAAACAAAACTTACCGCAAGATAGGATACCGCCGAGGCCGCAAAGTGCGAAGTATTTGGTTGATCCAAACTCGCACGAGTCCTCTTGGGCTACAGCTGTCGCAGCCGCCATTGCTCCCTTGGAAGTATTACAAAACATAAATTCATTTCATCTCAATACTAAGGGAGCGTTACGTAACGTATGGGGGGGGCGTTTACTTGATTTAATTACACGTTAAAGGGTGACTAGGTGGTCACGAAACGTTTTACTACTTGGGTACAGAAAAACGTTACGTCGCGTTACATGGGGGGTTTCAATGATATCCAAAAATTGCGTGACGTAATACCATAATTCAATAAGAACTCTTTCTGTTACAAGATAACTATGTAGCTATCTGTGCCTACTGAACCCAAATATCCAAACCCGACTTGGCTTTTACTTAGGTATAAAATAATATTTAAAAATCTTGACTCAAGCTAATTTAATAGTCATATCTACATTACTTTAATTTGTGTTATTTGCTTAAATTTTGATTTATTCAAATTTCCCCCTCCAAAAATATATCTAGAATATTATTCAATTATAGTCTCTGTTCAGTAGGCTATTGCACAGTTTTATAGCTCAGTTCGGGTGTAAAACAAGAAACTAATTTATACATATTGTGACTTTATACCTAAATCATTTAAGACATTATATCTGCCCTCAGCTCTCATAATCTATTAATCATTGAGGAACAACACCTGCTGATGGTACGCTACCGTTTCCAGTAGTGGTGGTTTAAATGCCACCAACCATCAGCTGATAACCCCCTCCAGCTTTATTTCACATCATCGGGCAATGTAATGAGTATTGTTTGTATTAATAATAGGTATATATAGGTTTAAGAAGTGAACACAAGAAAATAACCAATATTCCTATCTAGTACACTTATATTGACTGAAATGACCATACCCAACCCTTAAGAACTTATGAAAATACATACCTGTTCTGAAGCAATGGCTGGCTCGCAGCTGACTTGTGACAGTGGGCCACGGAATGGCGAGTTCCGCGCCGTATCCAATAGGGATGAAAACATTTTACTGAAAGCCAGAATAAATTTTACATAACTTAAATTTAACAGCCAGAATTGCTGCAAATTGTCTAATATAAATGTATGACGATATACAATGCTGTAGTAATGTATTTATCTATTTGACTCCTCATCTATCAAGATGTACTTGAATTAATGGTGACATTTCAATATTATATTTAAAGCCTATGTGTAATTATTTCTATATTTATGTGTGTACACATAGCTATAGCATAACATAAATGGTTGAATGCCCTCAGCTCTCATAATCTATTGATCATTGGGCAACCACACCAGCTAATGGTACGCTACTGTCTCCAGCAGTGGTGATAAATACCACCAACCATCAGCTGATAACACCCTCCAGCTTTATTTCACATCATTGGGCAGTTATAATTCAAAATGTACATGTATAGTGATAGCATACAACATTAAATCATATATTGTTTTTACAATAATAGACAAAATTGATAAATATCTAACCTAGTCAAATATATTAATAAAGTACATTCGGTGTTAGAATTATCTAAGTTGTTGTAGTATTTGGCAGCAGTTTTTTAATGTTCTACTAGTACAGTTAACTTCAGACTTCATTCTGTCAAGCATGAACAGTGAAAAAACAGATGACGTGCGTGGCATTGAAATATACTTTGCAAAAATTAGGTAACTATGAAACTTAAATATATAGCATATTTTATGCCGGTATAACCTTTATAATAGGCTTTGGAAACGGTGAGATGTAACTGGCTTTAACTGATCGATACCGAACGGAACTGGGTGGTACACAACACTACTTCAATGCGTCAAATTAAGTTATTAAGTAAATTCTAATTTTCGTATATTATATAATGGCTTAGATATTAAAATTAATGTAATAATTATCTAGGCTTTGGACAAGGTCACGTGTTATAATTCCACTATGTTACGTAAGGTAAATTTTGGCAATTCCATGGAAAAAAGCATGTAGTTTAAATTACAAGCTTAATTATTATATCGAATGTAGTGGATAAATGTCTCAAAAATTATAAAATAAACTTACATGTCTATAATCCGATGTAAAACTTTTTAACACACACCTCACCGCGCTTGTGGCACAGTGACAAAAGGAAACGGGATCGGCGATGTCAGCGCCTCATCGGAAGTTACATAATCACGTGGAAACTCTTGACAAACCGCAATTCTCAAGCGGCATCGCATTCCATAGATTAAGAACTATGAACATGCATAGATTACAAATGTATTAGAATGTATGAAATAATATTTATGTAAAACAAAATTAAATAAAAGCATTTCTACAGATAATAAATTACCTTGAAGTATTTTTGTATGTAATGTAAATTTTACTATTACTGTCGGTTCACTTATTATGTAATGACATTAGAAATGTAAACTAGATAGCGCTTTAAATAAAAAGTAATCTTAGGTCTCCCGCGAAAATTCAAGTAGTAGTAAATATCCACGGAGTGGGTTTATTTAAAATAATATGCGACATCGTTTCACCATATGATCATGGCACATTTATGTGATAATTTAGTAAATTTGTCGAAACACGGCTCCATCTTAAAACAGCTCCAATTTTTTTTCTATCGTTCTTTTCGACTTGTACGTAGTACCTCAAGTATTATTAGAGAGGCGCATGGCTTTGGACCCCTTTAAAAGAACTGATAATATTACATGCATGATTTAAATGAAATGTCAGTTCCCAGTGGGTCCACGTGAATTACTTTAGGTTAGGTTAAGTTAAAGTCAAAAATGTGTACCTTCTCATTCATTACACAAATAATGATGTTTAAATTAATTTCTATGAGGTTAAAGAGCATGCACCACCCCACAAGAGTGCATTAATCACCAATGCCGAGTGATGAAAATATGTAGAAAAAAATTTGGTGCTGTTTTAAGGTGTAGCCGTGTTTCGACAAATTTATCGATAATTTCTCTTAACAGGCCAGACCTTGCACATAGGTTAAAAAACACCTAAAATTATATTATATTCTCTTAATTTTTGGTTCTAACGAAGAGAATTTACGCAAAAAATGAAATCGAGTATGTTTTGTTTAAAATTAAAAGAAAAGTAAAGATACGTATACCTGGATGGTTCTCCATCTCTTTTTTCCACAAATTAGACTTCTTAAGTTTTAAGAGTATTTCTGTATAAGGACTCATTCTAGTTTCATAAATACTAAAAAACATTGCTTTTATTGATTTTTTAATTATATTTACTGTATATAAAAAGGAACAAGAACAATTATTACTTGAGCTAGTACGAAAATCCAAAAAAGCATTTGAATGACAGATAATGTTCTTTTTTTAATTCTATGAAACAGGAAGAAGTATTTATATCAGAATATTTATAATAGATACGATATTGTCTCATAAAACGTGCCTGTACCTACTTTTGAAAAACAAATTTGTAAATAAAAATAGTGTATTTAATTTTTATCTGTCTGCATTGGCCATTGACACGCTAAGCAGTAAGCACGCATTTTAATTTTTAAGTTTAATATTAATTTTGATAAAAACAACAATGATTAAAAAAGATTTTATAAGTAATAATATGTAAATTAGACTTTTTTTCACTATCTAAATGTATTATTAGACTTTTTTTTTATTTCAATTTTTAACTTTAATTTTTAAGTTTAATATCAATCTTTAATTTTTATAAAACATAAAATATTAAAGTTGTTGTGGTGTTACAGACGATGAAACGAAAAAGCAACAGTAAAAAGAGACAGACACATACATAAGATTTTTTTTTTATAGTGTCTGTCTCAGAGCGTACCCATTCTCAAAAGGCCGACAACGCACTTGCGAGCCTTCTGGCAATGTGACTGTCCATGGGCGGTATCACTTAACGGCGGTATCAGGTGAGCCTCCTATTACATAAAAAATTATGAAAAAACGATTGAAGGCGATTCTAGATAGTGTGCTATAAGTTTGATGCAAGTTTCCGCGAGATATTTTTTTGTAAAGTCTACCTTCTTAAAAAAAAACACATTCTATAAATAATAGAACATAGTTACAAGCAACATAACTCATTTGTATTAATAAATTAATTAAGTAATTAATAAAATAAAACATCATTCACCGGCGACTGGCGAGCCAAACCGCTAAATATTTTCCAACAGTTTCCGACATGTTGACTATCTAACCTTTATATCTAGAACTCACAATGCATATTACCTATGTTTTTTTTATAAATCCATAGATACCACTCTAAAAATACTTCTTTCACTTTTCTGCTTGTAAATTATACGTCACACGTAAACAAACTGTCAAAACATGCAAAATGTTATAAAAAATCAAAAGAAAATTTCAAACTTAAAAGGTATGATTATTTTAATTTAATTGTCCGAATCTTACGCATGACATGACAATTTAATTAATTCCCATAATTAAGAAGTCTTAGTTAACTTTTGTTACAGTTTCATAAATGGATTAAAACATTAAATGCCAACTTGCAGCCAAAACAAGAAATGCACACAAAATAGAATAAAATGTCACCGAGTTCCGATCTCACCACGCACCTGTATTGACAGCCACAGAATACCACATTTTAACCCACAATTTTGCTCTCCAAGATGCCATAATCCCTTCATACATTCCCATTATCCAAACGCCGCTCGTTGTATGGCATCAGTCAGAAAGTGTCACGACTGTTCAGACGAATCAGAGGATGAAGAAACAAATGAAAACGTAAAGATAATCCAATGCCCTTATACCCCTTCCATGCAGGACGTGGAATGTCAAGACGAAAATACTAAACTTAAAACCTGCTGTGTTCCTAACGTCGATTCAAAAGGGTCCCCACAAATATTGCCTCCAGGATTCAAAGCGCATACATCCGTTGATATAGCTAGTGACCCTCAATCTTCAGTAGCACAGAGGCCGGAAGTGTGCTGCCGCGCTAAAAAGAGCTTGGAAAACGTTTCCAACCAGAAGCAATCTCCTAAAGAGATTTCAACCCCCAAATCAAACCAACAGGATCCGAAAAATCCTGAACCATGTTGCGCAATATCTAAAAAACTTTTCCAAACAAATGAAGCACAATCTAAAATATCAGCTCAAGGTATTAAACACGATACTGATTCATCTCTAATCAAGCATATTGACAGTGAAGCTCAAAGCGTAGAATCAGAGGGTAATGTATCTGAAAAGCCATGCTGTGCTAGTGCCTATCCTAGAATCAAAACAGAACCAATTTTGCCACCAAAAGGTATCAGTGGAACCGCTAGACCGGGATACGTTGTGAATAAAGAGAGCGCGGATCCGATACCAGATGAAATACCATCAGAATGTATGACTAACGGTGGATGCATTCATGGCATTTCGAGCATAATGCCCAGCATAAATGCAGCGAAACAAAAGAAGGAAAGAACTTGTTTTTGTGGTGCGAAAGGTAAAAAGGAATCTCATGTGTGTAATGGAAGCAAATGTTTGCTTGGTCAGAAGAGTTGCCCGTGTAGATATCCGCCAGGTTTCAGCCAATTCAGCTGTGCTGGCAACATTACCGGGGTATGCAAGTGTAATGGGGAATTTAAATAAATAAACACATAAATGTCATTATTTTTATTTTTGTGTTGACACATGCCATGTGCCAGTTACTTGTCATTATGACAAACTATTAAATTTACGTGGATACGATTGTTCTAAAGTTAATTACATACATTTGGTAAATTTACTACAATATTTGAACGATGTGTGTTCGTCCTTTCGTTTACTTTCAGATAAAGTTAAGAAATTATTAGAAACACGCAAAAAAATTTCGTTCTAAATATATATTTTTTTCTTCTTAGAAGTTATATAGAAAATTTCAGTTTTCGTTTTTTCTTTTTTTCCGCAAATTTTTTCTCCTCAATGAATTTACAAATAATCGGCGTAGATTTATCGGCGGTTGAAGTATCTGCAAATAAATATTATTTCAATATGTAATTTGTACATATTACATACATTCATTTAGCATGAAAATATACGTAATTTTATTTTTAAATCTGTTAACAACTGTCACTTGTTTATGTACTAAGTTTTTGTGAGAAATGAATAAAGATCTGTATAATGTACCAAATAAAAAAATGTGTGCATGTACTAGGTGTACACACGTAAGAAGTGAAACTTCTTTATGACCTTATTAGAAACTATTTCTTTAAACACAGTAAATTTTGATACACTGCCTAGCATACAATTTACACATTAATTAAAGGCAGTTAATAATAAAACAAGATATACCGGCATTCGTTTTGTCCCTTGTGAATTTATTTCGTTCAACGGTTTCAGCCTTGCCTGTAAAAATACTACGAAAATTATAAAAAAATACGAAAAGTACTACCATAGATAACGAACCTTAACGCAAAATATAACTCCCGTATGTCATATTTTAATAAATTTGGACGTAACGGTATGTCTCGGTCACGCCATATTATTTTTCGTAAAGGGAGAAAATGTCCACATTTAGAATGCCCCCCCCCTCCCGTAACTCGCCGTAACGTTTTTTGTACCCAAGTATATGAAACCTTTCCTGACCTAGTGACTCTTTATACCTACAAGTTACCATTATGTGGTGTAAAGTACTGGAAAGTCGAAGTAACAATAACGCGTATTTTCAATCCCCGCCCCGCATCGTAACGTTTTACAGGGAATTTGTGTGACTTATGCACTTTATATAGAATGTATAGCTACGCACATAAACCAATTCGATTCAAAAAAGAGCTAGCCACTCGCCAAGGCACGGTAATTGTCTAGTGGCTACTGTATCACTAGCTAACCTGGTAATCATTCTGTCCGTTTTGTAAAATATTATAAATAATAGACACCGAAATCCGAATTAACCATTTCAATAATTTTTAATTTGTTAGCGCTTTAAAACAGTAATTAGTTCCCTCCATCTAGCTGTTTCAGCGGGGATTTGTTTGCGAGCGTTTGTCATATTTAGCGCCATGTTAAAAAATATACGCAATTCTTACTCTTTTAGATCCTTTCGGATGTTGGCAACATTGCTAATAAACTAACCGTGTATCTTCTGGATCTGTGTTCTCAATGGCTTTAGGAACAATCGCATTGGATGACTTTCATGAATAAATCCATGCCTTGTCATATCAACTGATGCTGTCTCCTTCTGTATTAGCTTTTGTAAGAAATTTCTTGTCCCTATCGGCATTTGGGGTGTTGAATTTTGTGGTTTTGGGTTCACACTCATATTGTATGATTTTTACAAAAATTTGTTGTTCACAAATTTAAATGCTCGTCATTTTGACGTTTTATAAAATATCGTCTATTATCTATGATACCTATAGAGACTATGAAGTCTCGTTATCCGGTAGAATGTGGGACATAGAGCAGCCACCTCTGTTTTACTAGTAATTTTTCTCTATAGTAAAAGTTCTTCAATGAGTTTTACATGACTTATACCATAACTATTCAAATAGAAAATACACATAATTTTTAATTTTCTTAACAATCAAAGAATGGTTTAATATAGCCAACATGAATTTTAATATCGAATAACTTTAGTCAGTGATAGTAAAAAAATACAAAATTTATAAATCAATTATTTTATTTAATTACCTTAAATCTCTAATAACATAATTTATCAATTAAAATACAAAATCTGTAGGGCAATCATTTTAATTCCCCCATTGTATCCAGTCTTAAATACATTTGAACATCACATCTTGATAGCTCATTCCTTTGTCCTGGGTTCGAATCTGAGACTAGAAAAAGTGAAGAGCTTATTAATTTAAACCTAAAAATTCACCTATATTTAATGATATATTTTTCTACTCTACAGATGTGTACATGTATTAAGTTTATATATTAGCAAACTAGCACTAAATCAGATGTACAACTGGGGACCTAGTCTCAGAGTAAGATTCAGAGTCTAGATTTAGCACCAAGTCTTAAAAGATTTTGATTTATAGGAGTGATAGTTCGCACTACTCAGTCCTGTATCTTACTTTAAGAACTAGTCAAAACATACCTGATAAACTATTTGCTATTTCTTACCAAAACAGGCCAATTATATGATAAGGTGGTCAGTGATAAACATATTAATTTTTGTATTCAAATAACCTGTAGGTAGAATCGTAAATGCTAAGACATAAGCTAGCTTCAAACTTGGGAAGATATAACTGGAGAAATTTAAGTTGTATGTTATAGAAGTGAGAGTTGTACAACAGATTTAGCAGCAAAACCTTTTCTCAACAGTTTTATAAATATTAAATTTATCATTTTTTACTTACAAAAAATACACAATTCGAGATCAAAGTTCGTCCCACATAAAATTCACACAAAATAGTGTGGTTTCTTTGCAATGATTCCATATTCTTGTAATGCTGGCACTAAGTCTTCCATTGTCATTACATATTTCTTTTCTTTTGGTCCTTTTTGATTTTTGCTCATTGACATTTGGCTGGAGGTCCTCATTTTGCAGTGCTGAAGAGCATCATTTGCAATATCAGAGAGAAATTTCTGTGCCGCTAATGCTATGAGGCGGATAAGCCTGAAAACATAGATAAAGATTTATCTTACCTTACTTAGTTCATGCCATCCTCTATAACGCAATGCATTTAAAAAGATCCTACGAAGCGCAAATTGTCTATAAACAACAGATTGAAAATCATTTTCACTTTTATTCAGACTCTATTAATGACTATTAACTACACATTATAAGTGACTACAAAGGTACATGGAAAAATAATGTTAGTAAATCTACAGAATAAATTACTTCTAATTATAAGTTTAAAATATTTATATACCTATACATAAATATTAAAAATTAATAAAATAAAACTAGATAAATATTTATGGTAGTATTTTTATGATCTCGATTATTGAACAATGTAAGCGAAGTTAGGTTTTATTCAATACTTTTAGACTTTGGTCTACTGTTATGCTATGGTTTAATATAATCAGTACTTATTTGTTAATAAAATAATTGACAAAAATTTATGTTAAAATTACCTTGGATCTTGCGATTCGAAGCCAGACATATTCAAGTAATAAGCAACAACAGAGTCGGGAACTGAAGGTGTGTAGTTTTCAAGTTGCAGGAGAAAGTCACTCAACGCGTGACCGACGCCCCCATCGTCGTCACCAACAGATGGAGAGTTCATACGACTCATTTGCATGCTGTGGATATTAGTTAATAGACTTTATCACGTTAATAACGTAATAAATACAAAATTTCAGTAAATAGCTAACACTCACCCTTTCTTCGTACAAAGAATAAAAAATTGACAATAGATATAGAATATATAATGCTGTACAGATGAAACTGTAGACAAACCCACAGATATTTTTCAGAGTGTTACGAATATGCATCACAGAACACATCACCGTGAATATTAAGACATTCGGTTCGTTAAACAATAGAACGATGCACTATTAAATTAAAAGAGTTTATTTACCGATCAAATCAATTAAATCTTATAATCAAATCATAGTCCAGTCAGGAGTAATCCTCCTGAACAACGTACCAATTTTTATTTATGCTAACGTTGTTGATTTGTTGTTTCCGTTGCTTTTATTTGGATGGAATTGATAATATATTATTTAACATTACAAATTTATCTTTAACTGTGTTTTCTTATAAAGCTAAATGTACATTTTACTGTACACGGAGGGGATCATTTTAGATTCGTGTAGTTTTATCTGTGTGGTAACGAAACGCAGTGTAAGTTTAAGCTTTTGATGTTACAATACCGAAAATTATATTTTACGGAACGGGTACTTCATCTTTAAGTGGATCATTAATTGTACAACACTTTTTGTAATAAATCATATATTATTCTATATATATTGAAAAAAATAAATATGGATTGTTTAATATATTTCGTTAAATTTTTTTATCATGAAAACACGTAAATATATTTTATTAAAACTTTCGAAATATTTTAAGATTGAAATATAATGGTTTATTTTGTTATATTAGACTGTAAGTAATTTATCTTTCGTTGCATTAAAGGTCTTATTAATTTGACCCATAATTATTAATTGTTGGTAAATTTAAATATAGTTTGGCAACATTGACCTCGTGTTAGTTTGCCGTTAGGTTGGCAACTCTACCCCTTCCTTCCTTCTTTTGCGCCGATCCACAAGGCAGAACAGCGAGTGAACGTGATCGATCGAATTTCAAAAAAGGCACACACCTACCCCTGTGCTTCCCGTGATCACGAAATAACTCTATATCTCCTGACTTAAAACATCGGGAGTTAGTGTTTCGTGATTTCAATCCAAACAGTGAGTTCAAGACTCGACGCCTTCAAGGCCTATTACCTAACGAACCACATTGAAGAAAAATGTCAGGCGGATTAGGCGATCCTGTCGCTTTCGCGAAGGACTTCATTGCCGGTGGCGTGTCCGCTGCTGTCTCCAAGACAGCAGTAGCTCCGATCGAGCGTGTAAAGCTGCTTCTGCAAGTCCAGCATGTCTCGAAGCAAATCGCCGAAGACCAGCGCTACAAAGGTATCATCGACGCTTTCGTCCGCATCCCCAAAGAGCAAGGTCTGCTCTCATTCTGGCGTGGTAACCTTGCCAACGTCATCAGGTACTTCCCAACACAAGCTCTCAACTTCGCCTTCAAGGACAAGTACAAGCAGGTGTTCCTTGGTGGTGTCGACAAGCACACCCAATTCTGGCGCTACTTCGCCGGTAACTTGGCCTCCGGTGGTGCCGCCGGTGCCACATCTCTTTGCTTTGTATACCCACTCGACTTCGCCCGTACCCGTTTAGCCGCTGATGTCGGTAAAGGTGATGGCCAACGTGAATTCAGCGGTCTTGGCAACTGTCTGTCCAAGATCTTCAAATCTGATGGACTCGTCGGTCTCTACAGAGGATTTGGTGTATCGGTACAGGGTATCATTATCTACCGTGCCTCATACTTCGGTTTCTACGACACAGCCCGTGGTATGTTGCCCGACCCCAAGAACACACCAATTGTAATCAGCTGGGCCATCGCTCAAACTGTCACAACTGTTGCTGGTATCATGTCATATCCATTCGATACCGTACGTAGGCGTATGATGATGCAGTCTGGACGTGCCAAGGCTGACATCCTATACAAGAACACCATTCACTGCTGGTCAACTATTGCTAAGACAGAGGGCGGTGGTGCCTTCTTCAAGGGAGCCTTCTCAAACGTACTAAGAGGCACAGGAGGTGCTTTTGTGCTTGTCTTATATGATGAGATCAAGAAAGTTCTCTAAATAATGTAAGAAATGTTACCATTGTGAATTAAAATCAGCCACTCCTTCAAATCATGTATTATTAGATCAAAAATGCATCCTAGTAACTTATTTTTAGTTAAATAAAGTGTTATACAATGATTCCAGTTTGTAATTGTTTCATTGAAAAATTTAATGTCACATAACCTCTGTCAGCCATTTAACAATAGCATTATTTATTACATCTAAATTCAAATTAAGAATTTTTAATTCATCTGCCAGTTGTTATGTAACCTCATTCCATTCTGACAGATGGCTGTCAGGCCAAGGTTTCAAAGATTAGTTGGCTAACATTGTTCAGTGATCTAGTTATATAACAGGCACCATAACCTAAATGTGTAGTGAAAAAGCATTATTTAAAGTGTAAATCTTGCGATAAGCTGTTATGTAACAAGCTATGTATGGTTCTGTGCGAGTAGTCCACACTTGTTAAATCATTAACATCAGTAGGTAACAGTTATGTATGTTGGGTAGGGGCGGACTTTAAATATCTTGTCCTCGGGTGTGAGTTTTTTTAAAGAAAAATTCATGCATTGAGTGAATAAATTTGAAAAATTAATAATTGTTCTTTTATTACAACCTACCTCTACCATAGTGCAATTCCCATGATTATTTCTATAATGACAACTTAAAATAAAAGAAAACATTAAATCTTAGTTAAATGGTTATATTAAAAATTTATTTTATTAATGTATCATAATTAACCTGATAAGTCATATCATGTATTTAATTCTACACTTTGAAACTCATGAACTGTTCGGATTGAATGAACTTATGCTATAGTATGTAGGAAGAATAGGAGTGAGACCATTAAAATTTTCTAGTAGCTTATATGAATAATTAAGAGCCATGCTTTATATGTTACATTAAACTAACATACAGTATTGATTTTAAAAGGTAACGAGAACATTATAAAGATCCAGCATATACCAATGAAAGGGAATCAGGAGTAATGATGTTAATTGTTAATGAAGATTACATTCATTAAAAAGGGACTTTTCTTTGCTCTAAGTTCTAACTGTCATTGAACTTTTACACAAGATGGCGGATCCGTCAAAATTTATTGACCCTTGTACGTGACGTCACAAGATGACGTAAACGACGCAGCGTAGTCTGCAGTAATGACATAACAATATAATCAAAGCTTTATGAATAACTAGGCTAGACAATGCTTTTTGCATGGGAAATAAAGAGTTCATCTCCATATGGAGTCATCATAATAGCCTACTATGTTTTGTAACCAAGCTGACAAATCTTGCGATAGTATAAACAATTTTAAAATTTCGAAAATTGGAAAATTTATTGGGGTTTCTCATAATGAAATCGCACGAGGAAACATCTATAATATTATGTAGTGGTCTGCTTAGCAACGAAATATGTTGCCATTTGAATTATATTTCACCTTGTATCGTGTCGTTAGGATTACACTTCTACGAACCGGTGAAAACTGATACTAAACACTTTCAAGTGGTTGAATTAGGTTATTTAACGCCGGAAACAGTATGCTATTGCAAAAATGATAGGTATTTATCATATGTATGACTCTACTTTACATGTTTCTTATATAAATGTTAATTAGTAGTCTGATTGAATTAATTTGGCCAATATACATGTTAGGCGTAACCACAATTCTTAATTAATGACATTCAATGTTAGTGGTTAAGCATTAAATTGACATCTTTAATTCCTATATTTATTATGATTATTATTATTACTCTATTATTTTATAGGCGTGACTCTTGCTCGTAATAAAAATAAAACCAGTGGCGATACAAAGTTTTAGGTCTGGGTTTTAGACTTCTGTATCTGTTTTCTAATAGGCAAAAATGTGATGGATTTTGGACAATAGGAGTCATAGTTTGTTTGTAGCAGAATACTGCTTGTCTATTTATTTAAGCAAAGTCCATAGGTAACTTAAAACATGCTGAGAATAATATGTAATAGTGAATTCATAGTGTAATATTGAATAATAAGATAATATTGTACTATGGGTCATGACCTACGTGTCCGCATCGATTTATCAGTGCTGCCAACCGTTTGCCGCATGCTTATGTAAGAAGCAAAGAGATTTCGAGCAAGGAGGTTGAACATAGACAATTATTTCCATTCTTGGCTCGCGATTCAATAATTTATAATATATTTCAAGCCAAGAATGGATTTTGAGTGTAGATACTCATCTTGATGGCCTTTTTGCTTACATTTTAATAAAATATTGATTTAATGGCATTACTTGGTTAACAATGTACGATTTGATTATTCAACAGTTGAAACGAAAAAAATATTAAAATTGCTTTGGTCACACTTTAAATATTTTAATCTTATAAATAACTAAACACATTTTTGATTGCCTTTAAAAAAACAACGTATTTTTGTTATGGAACAGGAGGAAAAATAGCAGGCACCTAAAGAAAGTGTTTTCAGTCGCCCATGGTCACCCGCAACACCAAGACGTATGCAAGAGCGTTGCCGTCCTTTAAGGTCCTTTTGCTCTTCTCTTGGAGTCCCCTAAGTCGTAATGGTTTGGAGATACCTGGAATGAGGAGTTGATTCCATGCGCTGCGGGATTTTTCAAACCTAATATTTTGTTTGTCGATAAAAATATTTCTATATATTATTTATATCGGTATTTGGCTGTAATAAACATGAACATAAATATATCTCTTGAAGGTTATAAAAATACATTTTTTTTATTTATTAAGGATGTTATCTCTATGTCCGTATGCTGAAGGTGAATAACGTGCAGTGGTATGAAACCAATAATGAACGTGTATCAGGTATAAGAGGCAGCTAGCATATAAAAGAAAAATTATTAAAGAAACATGCGATCTATGGGCAAGATCCAAAAATAGTTGATGCGCCCGTGATGATATTTTCTTTAGAGACCTTCTGGCCCTGGAGGCTCTTTAAATCAATACTTTTAAAAGTAAGCAGAGAATTAAGTTCGGGGCGGTTGTTGGATGGATATGTTCAAATATTTGTTAAATAAAACACTTTGTTTGAAGCTATAATGGTTTAATACATGAGCTTATAACTAAGATAAAATTAGGGGTTATGGGATTGCGACGCTAATAAATCTAGCTTGGGTCCATATATCGAAATGACAATTCAATAAAAGTGCAGTCGATACCTGCCGAAACCTATTTGACATTGTTTCCGAACAAGAATGTTGTAGTGCAATTTATGAGTGTGGAACAACTATAAGGCTCATTTTGGTTTCAAGTGTGCGACGATTGCTAACATTTGTTTTGCGCTTCTAATTATTAACAAATATCTATTTTTTTTTTCGATATAATAGGGGGGCAAACGAGCTTGCGGGACGACCAAAAAGGGCAGTCTACGCAGCCCATAGACACCCATTTTTAGTGGGTGCCTTGCCGGCCTTTGAGGGAGGAGTAGACTCGCTTTTAAACATTTGCAGGTCGTATCGCTGAGGGAAGACCCTCCCCGGGAGTCGATTCCACAGTTCGCTAGTTCGCAAAAGAAAATGCCTTGTGAAACGGACTGTGGAAGACCTCCAACCATCAAGATGATGTTGGTGAAATTTAGAGGTCGTACGGCTCGTATGGTGTTGAAAAGAGGCAGGAGGGATCAACCCAAAGAATTCTACCGAACACTCTCCGTAGTAAATAGAATTCTCGTGTCACAATGTTCGGTCCCATACTCCTCTGACACGGTTCGATGGATTCTTATGAATTTTTCATGCATATTCAGTAAGTCTGAGGATCGGCTAATATCTGTCTTTCAATCCCCTAAGTGATAGTGATAGACCAAATTTTATTTTTGGATAAATTTTATTTTTTATTATGTGGCATTAAAAATACATACTACCCTTAATGTTCACCCCTCTACGATCAACCCCTATTTTATAGTAGATAGTTATTTTTATTGAACTAAAAAATGTTTCCTAGAAATAATATAAATGCCGGGTCAGCTAGTATATATATATAAATTAACTAATGTTAGGTTACATAACTAGGCAAACATCAATAGACCACAAGCCCATGAACAAAAAATACCTGTGAAATGACCCAACGTGAATTACGCTTAGAAGGCTGTTACTATATCTGAAAATAGCTCTGAGCACTATGCCGTCATTTCTGAGCGGTACATGTGAGTACGTGAGTGAATGGACTTTCTCATGTACAATGGGGAATTTCGACTAATTATTAATGTACGGCTTTGTTATAAGTGTATAGATGATTAAAAATAAATGTCGAAAAACCTAGTGCCGTACAAAAGTGATGGTGCCGGAAGTCGGTGCAAATTTTTAATTCGACGACAGTTGCAGGAGCAATATAGGTCATTTATTACTGTACGTCATTTGTGTCATTCCTTTTGGACACATATACAGATACTTTACCCGTAAACGCCGTACATATTTCCAGCGGAGCGGTCGAAAGCCAAGGGTCGGAACCCTACCCCTACACCCATATACCCTAAGGTCATTGTAAAATGTACGGCAACATGTTCAAAATATTATTTAACACGGACAATAATGTTTTATAATTATGCCGTCCAAATATTATAGTTAATATTTGTGTAATTCAATATTTATCGAAATTTCAGGCTTTACCAAGTTCTTACTGCTGTAAGATCAGAGAATAATGTACGGCAACTTGTTTTTTTACATAATGTTACTAAATATTACCGTTGTACATTATAGCCGTTCATTATAAATGGTAACAAATAAAAATATTATGATAAAAAATATATGAAATTTCCGAAATTTAGATGACTTTTCAAATGCTCCTAGAGTAATATGGGGAGTAATATTTTCAAAGATTATTGTTATTTTATATGTAACAAATATAAATAAACAAAAAAAACCAGATGCCGTACATTTTACTCCAGATTATTCTTTACAGCTGATAAAAACTTCGACGACGTTTGAGGTGTCCCTTAAGGTCATTAATAACTGTACATATCTGAGTATACTACCATAAGGCTGTAAAGTATATTTACAGCCTTATCGTACCAGCAGA